GTTAATTCGATCTTCAAAATTATAAAAGTTTTTTTATTTATAAAAAAAATGAGTTAATTTAGTTCTTTTGTTTATTAAGTCACTAATGACATTACGTACATATGCTACTCCTTATATATTAATATTAATTCTACGTCAGACATTAGCTCACCCATAGTAACTATCTTAAGATTTTCCTTAAACTAATTTAGGTGAATAAAGTTTAACCAATAATACATAAAATTACTTTTTTAATTCCTAAAATTGTTGTGTTATCAATATAGTACCCGAAATTATTAAAAATTAAAATAATGAAAATGTGAGATTTATTTGTTATCTTTTGAATGTTAGGAATTATTATGAGAGATTAAAATAGTACTACCTTTTTTTTCTAAATATAAGAATTTTTTAATTAAATTATATCATTTAATTAAGTAAAATATTAAATTTGTCAATAATTTACACTATCTTTTTAAGAAAAATACCTTATAATGAGAAGGAAAAAAAAAACCTTCTCCTTAGGTTCTCACAGTTTTCTTATGAGTAGTTTTGATTTAGTCTCTTCATGCTCTTTGTTTCATTGTTTCATTTTATTTTTATATATTTTGATATACCGTAAATGAATGGTAAGTTTTAAAGTGTTAATGTTGTTTGGATATTTTTGTCCTATGATGATATTTTGCATGTCATATTTTATTAAAAAAATATTTTTTAAAATTATTTTTAATATCTCTTAAATTAATATTTTATCTTTCTAATATCATTTCTCATCTAATTAATTAATGTTTGAAAGAAAGATATTTATATTGTTATTTATCTATTCAATCTTTAAAAAGAGAAAGTTTTTATTCAATTAATTTTAAATATTTATTAATTTTTGTCTAAAAAATTATTAATTAAATAAAAATATTTTAGAGAAGATATAATTAATATATATGGCAATTAGAATAGTGTCTTATAATGAAAGATAAACAAAAATAAAATAAAATTATTCTTATATATAGAGACAGATATTATAATTTTTAAGGTTTAGAGTTTAAAATTTACCTATGTAATTTGATATTTAAAATAATTGAAAACTAAATTTTTACTGATAAGGTATATGATTTGCCTAAAATAATTAAAAACTAAATTTGTCTCGTGTTATGAACTTGTAGTAAAACTAAAATTTAAAATATAAGCTTCATGTTTAAATTATTTTTAACATATAAGATTAAAGTATAGTCTCTGCATATTCTTAATCGCCTTCTTCTCTAATTAATTAATGATTAACTCTTAGTCGCTAAGATTTTTACCATATGCACATAAAGATATGGCGGGGTCCCACATATAATCAACATGGGTCATGCATGTAAGCAAGCTATATATTTTCGTTACCCTACCAAAGGAAAAGGAATGGCAATAGTTTTGGAGTTAATCCATATATCATGAAAATATTAGGGAATGCAATCAATCATAATCGTTTTTCTTCATTTCTCTATCCAGCAAAAAGTTTATGACAACTCTGCTACGTGTATCAATTATGATCAAACTTGGAAAAGGACAAGAATAATTAACTATCATATAGCTACAACTCGAAGCTTGGAATTGAGAACCATATATTCTGAAGCATTGTGAGAGTTAATTGAAACCATTAACAAACACATGGTCCACAGCATTGAGTCATCCGATCAAGCTCATGGATTCGTCACATAAATGTTTCTTCCCGTTGATGACTTAGAGTTAGGTCATTATAATTTATTTATTTTTGCCTTTCAAAAAAAAAAAATTAGTTGATCATGAGAAAGCGAGTAGGAAGAAAAAAATCCATGACATTGGTCTGATTTTGCTTAGCAAGGAACCTAGTGTAAATAACATCAGAAATCACTTACAAATGAATAGTTACTTAAAATCTAAAAGTTTACCTAGCTTGCGTGACACGAGCTATGAGAATTTGTATAAAGGTGATCACTAAATATTTGAACGTTGGATTTGATTTGGACCAAAACAAAAACCACGACATGAAGCTCTATGCATAGTTAGTGGTGCTTGCCAGTTGCCATGGAAATATCTTCGAGTGGCATCTACCTTGGCATTTGGCTATACGATCCATTTGGTTAAAATTGAAAAGTTTTTGTTTTAAAAAAATAAATAAATAAATTGGCCTATAGCGTTGAACGTAGAAGATAAGCCTTTGTAGGTTGAGTGGCCTTGCTTTATAGTTTATAGGCAGACAAGACGCATCTGATTACCTTCTTTGCGTTCCTCAGTTCGTGGCAAAGCGTACTAGTTACCTTTCAATAGCTCCATGTATTCATTCATTAATAATTTCTTTATGCTATTTGGTATTTCGTATGGTATTATTCTATATACTCCACTTTGATGAATTCATCAACATCATCACCTTTTAGTTGGTGGATGTATTGCCCTTATATCTTTATAAACCCCACGTATTTTTTGATATATAGATCAATTGTATTTGTTACATAATACAATTTTAATTTTATTTAAGTCAAGTAGAATTACTTCAAGTGAAAAAAAAAATCTTCTTAAAACATTTAAGAATAAATGATTATTTGAATTCTTGAAAGCGTATGTACTATCTTGTCATTTTAATCCCTTAAAGTATAATAATTAAATAAAAAAAGTTATTGAAAATGTAAAATATTCCTTACTTTAGTTCAAAATTTATAAAATAAAAAAGAAGCATACAACTTTAATGATAATTATTAATATATATTTAATGACTAAAATAATAATAAATAATTACTTCTAAAGACTTAACTGTGAAATAATGAAACAATTAGAATTTTTAAAGATTTATTTAAAATTTCCTTATTTTTAAGAACTAAAGTATGGCATTTACAGAAATTCAAATAATATTTTACCTAATATTTAATATATATCTAAACTCAAAATCTTAGTTAAATTTTAACACCTTGATGGTAATCAATCCATATGTTCCATATAATCATGTGACTTTGTACATGCACAAAATGCAAAAACTATGGTGATCAAAGAGGGGGAAGGGAGAGAGAGAGAAAAGAAGTGAGACTTGTATTCAAAAGGGGGTCCCCATGCAAAATCAAGACGTGACGCGCGTTCATTTGTTTCCACATACATTATTCCTTGTGATTAAACTATTGGGATTTTAAATTAATATACATGTCATGTAAATGTATTCTCTTTATCTCGTGCTATGGGATGGAGTTGTGGTTTCTAGCCGCCAATCATATTGTCCTCTCACAAAGTTGATTCCTTTGCTTCCATCTTAAGCCAATTTTCACCCAATAGATGTCACTTTCTGTCTTACCTAATTGGTAACATTAGTAATGTGCATGAAGCTCTGTTTTTTCTCCATTGAGTAAGGTTATGGTGCAAATTAATTAACTCACTTTCTTTGTCATGGTCTCATTGGCATTTCCCCTATGTGTTCCTTTCGAATTTTTTTAATTTTACTTTTTTTTTTGTGTGGGAGAGGAGGTATGGAGGCAAATCATGGGTTATTTTTACTTTTATGGATAGTTGATCAACTTTTTCCTTCCATTATAAATTTAAAGGAAGTGTAAGTTGTTAAATAAACACTATAAGAAAATAGTTATATAATGACACACTCTAGTAACATAATATGTGTTATTAAAAATTATTTTTATCTATACAATAAATATAATGTGTTAATATATTATTAAAAAGTGTAAATATAGACTATAATGACATACAAAATATATTATTAAATCTCATTTAAGATTAATATTAAAATTATGTATATTTATATTTCAAATGTATATATATACATATTATATCTATAATCAGGGGGCGGACCTTAGACATGACAGGGGGAGCCATGGCTCCCCCAAACTTTTTGAAATTTTATTTTTATATATATATATATATATTATATTTGTATATTATCATATTATTAATTATAATAAAATTAAAAAAAAAATTGAGTGAAAAAAATGAAAATTTCTATTATTGTTTTAATTAATAAAAAAAATTAATTTATAATTTTATATAAAAAATATATATTTTGGTATCCCAAATTTTTTATCTAAGTTCTGCCACTGTTCATAATAATATTTTTTTTGTATATTACTGTATATAACATCTTTCTTTTGTTGTGTAGGAGAAATTTACATATGTTTTTAAGGATTTTTACATTCTCAAAAGCATCATGAAACTGACCTAGCTAATTGTACGAACCAGATTAAATATACAGGGGACTATGCATGCAGTAAATAATATACATGTAACATGATAAATTGTTCAGTATCAATATCCGAATTCAGTTCAAGCGATGAAAGAATCGTTGCAAGACATAAAATATTTTTTTATTATTAAATTAATTTCTTAAATATTTATAACATACTATATATAAACATTGTCTAAATTTATATAGGAAAAACATAAAATTCACGACGTGTAAGGTATGGCCATTAGCTGGATATTGTTGGATAAAGAAAAGGTTAAAAGTTAATGAATTTGTCTGAAAAGTGAAAGTTCCTGCAAGTATTTAAATTCAGTCATGTGTTGTTTGTTTACAAACTAATAATTACATAAATAATTAGTTATTATTTAAACCTGATTTACTTCAGGATTAATTATTTTTATATATTATCGTTCTCCATCTTTTTAATATATTATGACAATTACATCATATTAGTAAGTTCTAATCATACAAACTCAACCTTATTGGTCAATATCAGAAGTTATGCTCTCTCAAGTGTTAAAAGGGATTGAGATAATATATATAAGGTTTAGATTTGAACTTTATTTGGTTCAAAAATATACAAACTCAGAGATTTAAAATTTTGTCAGTTTTTATTGAAATAATTAATTTTATTTTCCCGTTCTCCCTTGCTTCGATTTAGTGCCACAAACTCTATACATCAAACTGCAACCATTAACTTAACAGTACCCACCAAAGGCCAAGTCAATAAAGGAGTCTTTTCCTGGTGTGAAGGTAGGGTCCAGTGAACACGGTTCTTAAAGCTTTTGGCCCCCTACAAATACCCTCATTCCCTCCCTCCCTTCATTGCCATCAACCACAAACCATTCTATTCTTCCAACATCATAGTATAACAAATACAAACTACAATCCTCATCCTTATCTTCCACTCCCAGTGGTCTCTCACAAGGGACCTCTGTTAGATGTTGTTGTCTTTCTTCAGGTAAATTTACTTAATCCTATTCAACTCAATTGTATTCTTCAAAAATTTACATGCAGGTTCTTATTAGTATGTATTATTTTTTTATTTTTTTGTACAATTCTCTAATCAGAAACAAGCTAAAAACACAACAATTCCGATGAAAGAGTGCTAAAAGAACAATTCTTGAAACGTGTATTATTTTTTATTTTTTTTCCCACACCTCATTTATGGTGTGCGTTTTCCAAAACCCCATGCATGTTTCCTACCTAACTCCACTTTGAAACTTGTGAGCATCATATGTACACTTCTCAAGGGGAGTTGTATTTGGCATTTTGTTCTAAATTCTTGTCACTCGTTTTGTGCAGATAAGTGAATAGCACTTTCCTTCGTGTTTGGGTTATTTATAAGACATGTCAGCACCTTCCATGACTTTGACCAACAAGGTTCAAAGCCTTGAGGAAAAGACCATGATGCCGAAGCAGGGCATCATCACCATTTTCGACTCAAACTCAAACACAACTTCTTCTACCTCTTCCTTGCGAAGAACTCTCTCTACAAACTTGTCCTCCAAGAATTGGCTCTCTCAGAACATTGCTCCATCTGAAGCTGAAGACAAAACCATTGCTGACTCCGAAGCTGAAGACACCTTTGCTGACTCCGAAGCTGAAAGAGATAGGCTCGAGATTTGGAGCTCCATCCAACGGAGCAAGAAGGAGGAGCAAGAGAAATCAAGACCATTTGATACGTGGAGCTCAATCATATCACTCAAAGGAAAAGATGAAATCTCCAAGTCACTTCCTGTGACACCTTATGTTCACCCTCTTGTGAAAAGGTCAAAGAGTTTAAGTGAGAAGAGCCTCCAAATCTGCACCGAGAGTCTCGGATCCGAGACAGGCTCCGATGGCTTGTTGTTCTCTTCTTACCCTTCTTCTGAGATAGGGGATGCAAGGGAAGAAGAGAAAATTGTTCCGGAACCAATTAATGAAGAACAAGAAGAAGGAGAAAAAGAAGAGTTGTACAATTATGCTGCAGTGGCTACAAAGAAGGCTTCATCACCACCACGTGCTTTCCCTCCACCACTCCCTTCACTCTCTCATCATCACCAAGCTGATCCTTCACTTCACATGCGTTCCCACCGTGACAATGGAAGGTTGGTTCTAGAAGCTGTTTCTGTTCCTTCTCATAACAATTTCAACATTCAGCGCCAAGATGGTCGCCTTGTCCTCACTTTCTCCAATCACCAAGTGGAGGAGGAAGAAGAGAATGATGATCATGGGGAAGGGTGCCTAAGAGGGTTTGAATTTGAAGAAAATGAAGATTATGAGAGTGAAGAGGAATACTTTTTTGATACCAAGGCACAGGTATCCTCCACTGAAGGAAATTCTGGCTTGATGGAATATGAGAGTGCGATAGAGAAAGTGCCCTTATTGTCTGGTGGGTTGACAAGTAGTGTTCATGGGTTGGCTTTGATGATGAATAAGAATAAGACAATTGAGTTGGTGAATAGGAATCCAAAATGGTCGGAGAAATTCAATGAGATGAGCAATTTTGAGGATGTTAATATGGAACAATCACTGCCTTCAAGGCCAAGGGTAGCTAGGTTGATTCCATCAACACCTACTGTGCCTGGGGCTTCTTTCAATTTCAATGCTTATGAGTACTATTGGAGGACCAAGTCTACTACATCAAAAGGTACTAGTGTTAACCTTTACCCCCTTGACCAAGAGAAAAATCATCATCAAGAGAACCTGAAGAGCAAGGTTGTTGTCTCTGGGAACATGAACAAGGTGATCTCAAATGAGCAACAACAGTTGTTTGTTTTGAGAGGGAAGAATGGTGATTACTTGGTTCACAATTTGAAGAGTTGCAAGGATTCTAGAAGGTCATTTCTATTCTGGGAACCCTATTGCATTGCCACATCCTGAGTAACAGCACCAACATCATAATTACTAATCCATTGCTCAAAAACACTATTTATTACTCCATCCTTTTATCTTTACCCGATTCCACTCTTTCAGGGAGTTGTTTAGCGTAGTCAAATAAAAGAAAAGGGAGTGAAAGAAAGGGATAGTGAGGGAGAGAAAGAGAAAAAAAAATACTTTATTTGTATTGTAAGATCACAAAAGATGACTTGAACAGTGTTGTCATATATAATATTTATTATTTCTGTCTTTACTATTGGCTAATAGTCTAATATACATACACAAAACGTAATCTTAGCTCATCTTTGACTTCTTGGATTGTCTTGTCCTTCCCTAAAATTATCATGGTTTCTAAAATTTCCAACTTTTTTTGCTTTTGTAATCTAAGCCAATGGGGTTTCAGAATCGATCTTGTCATGCCTAATTGGTCTTATTTTTTGGAAACACCGTGATCATTCCTTGATATTCTTTGTCCCTCCTCAATTTTAAGTTAGGACAGTGAGTACTGCGCCAAGAAAATTAAAAAGATATAATAAGAATATTTCTTGACTATTTACTTCTTAATTAATAACATTCTCTTTTATTGTGTAAACTATCCCTTAACAAAGAAATTAAGATTATTTTCTCAAAATACAAAATTTTATTTTAAGAATTTTCATTTTTGGACATTTATATATTCTTCTGTACATTTGAATGTCTCGGAATTTTATTTATAATCACATACTTAAGGAATACTTAATAACATATTCCCATATACAGACTAATTTATACTGCAGCTATTACTTGTCCACGATCCATGCATTTTGCATTCCATGGTCTTGAGAAATAAAAAAAGAAAAAGTTGGGAAAAGTGCTTATTACTAAAAAAAGAAAGTGTAATAGCCATATGTATTTCTGAAATATACGATATAATTAACATTTCATAACTCATAAGATTTATTACAGTTCAATTTTAAATTGTATAAAGTTCAATTGAAGTGCGATTGAAGAAGATCGATAATTTCATAATGTGTTTTAAAAAATAAATTAAATATTATTATTAATCTTAATTACTTAGGAAAGCTATATATTAAAAATTTTGGTTCATAAGACGTACGGAAAGACGTGACGTTGTTGAATCTTAAGTTGTATGGTGGATAGGTTTCAAAGATATAGTATGTTATGAGGCATTTATGCATAATCCATAGTTAGAGGTGTTGTCTAAATCAGTGTGATATGAAAATAAGATAAAAGAAGCGAATGAATTCTGAAGCAGTATTGAGAAGAAAGCAGGTGGGGGAATAAAGGTGGGAAAACAATAGTAATCTTTGTTGAGATATGTACAGAGTGGAGGATAGGGTTAGGGTTATAGATTGTAGGAGTGAAGGTGTGGAGTGATGCAGTTCGTGAATTTAAATTAAACCTCATCGAAAATTTCTGAGACATATACCCTTTTGATTCAAAGAAAAAGAGCCTAATCCCACACATGTCATCAACAAATTAACCCTTTGGAATATACAAAAATTCTGCTAGGCTGGCTTTCAATACCAATGTGCATGGCTAGTGCCTAGTGGTGTTTCATTCATGATCAAAAAGCCAAACCCATAGCCACCGCTGGTCTCACCATCATTATCTAAGAGATAAGTAGGTAATATTGATGTAAGAAAGTATTGGAGATCTCATATCTATTAAAAATATATATGAAAAAAATTACAAACGAATTTTGTAGAATTAAATTAAATTAAACTTAAAATCATTTTCTTAAGATGAAATTAAAATCTATCTTAATTATTAATGTTCACCCTTTATTTTATTATCATATTATCCACAAATATTCTATAAATTTCATGTTAAAAATTCACCTAAGATATTAAAAAAAAACAATACCTCTAATTCATGTTTGTGGCGTATACAACTAACGTGTCTATTCTCTCTGTTCACCACGTGGCACTGCCTTATTGGCAGAATTGAGTAATTCCCATTTTAGTCTCCATCGCAATTAATCTAATATTAAAACATTTTTGTATGGATATATGAAATGGAATACTTGCAAACATATTCTAGCATTTTAAATTTTGCCTCTGTGCCACCATAATATTTCATCCAATCAATGAGATAATGGGAGAAGATCTTTGTTGTGATGAGAATATTTTAATATTGTGCTAAAGAACCCTTTATTACAGAAAGCAACACTTGTTGGTATGCCGAATATCTCCCTTTTCTTTTATCCCTACACTTTTTTCCTCTCACCCTACCCTTCTTCTCTCTTTTTGTTTGAATAAATTTGAATGAAATTTAATTAGCTTCCAAAAAGTAATTGGAAAGTAGAGATAGATGCTGCTTCTGCTGACGTACGTATATATGTTTAGTTCTCTTTCGGTTTAAAAGCTGCAAATTCAATTCTGATAAATACGAATTTGAGCCCTTGAATGACAAGGGATCTGAATTTATGTATCACACTGATTGCTAGCTAGCTTCAATTATTCCCTTCAATTAAACAAAGCATTCTTATTGTTTTATTTCAATGAATTTCATCCCTCCCTTCTGTGCTGCATAAACTTTAATTAAATAATTTGTAAGTAAGCTAAAGAGGTACAGTAATAAGTAACTTAAAGGAAGAACCACAAGATTAGTTTAACTTATTTTACAGGGAAGACTATTCTAAGAACTACAACATATTGCACAATTACCAACATAAAAAAAATTAAAGAAATAAAACTTTAGCTATTTACACCCAAAAATATCAACGGGAAGAAATATTTATGAGACGAATTTGTGAGCTTGATCGGATGACTCAACGCTGTGGACCATGTGATCATTAATGGTTTCAATATTATCTCTCATAATGCTTCAGAATATATGGTTCTCAATTCCAAGCTTCGAGTTGTAGCTATATGATAGATAATTATTCTTGTCCTTTGCCAAGTTTGATCATAATTGATACACGTAGCAGAGTTGTCATAAACCTTTTGCTCGATGGAGAAATGAAGAAAAACGATTATGATTGATTGTCTGCCTATGCATTCACTAAGATTTTCATGCCATAACATAAAAACTATTTCAATACCTTTTTTCTTCGGTAGGGTAACGAAAATAGCTTGCTTACATGCATGCATGGCCCACTAATTATATATGTGGGATCCCGCCATATCTTTACGTACATATGATAAAATCTTAGTGACTAAGAGTTAATCATATTAATTAGAGAAGGTGATTAGGAATGCGTGGAGAGTCCTAGAATCTTAAAAGTGTTAAGAATGATTTAAACATGGAAGATTAGTTTTTAAGTTTTAGTTTTACAAGTTAATAACATGAGAAAAATGTAGTTTTTAGTCATTTAGTTAAGTCATACATTTTATTAATTAATAACCATCAAGCTGATAAGTTCAAGTGAAACTGAATTTGATTATCTTAATAAATGTTTCAAGTTCAAATCTTATAAATGAAATAAAAATTAATATAACTGTGTTCAAGAAAACAAAGGTTATTCTTTGTGATTTTAATAATATGAGCACACATAATTATTATGGTTGTGAATTGGTTAAGACTAGTTGATTCTTAACAACTTAAATAAGATTAATTGAAGACAATTGAATATTAGATTAACAATTGGCTACAGTTGAGAAGCTTAGGCCAATGGCTTAGCTAGTTGAAAAGTCTAAACATGAATATATAGCTAGTTAAACAGTTTATTGTAATTGAATGAATGATTTACACATAGAATTGAGATGTGTGTACATGTGTGAAACGTTTCAAATAAGAATACCTTTTATAATGTGAAATGAGAATAATTAATAGTTATCCTTATATTAAAACAAAGTGTTCATATTAAAATGTTACAAACAAAATTATCACATATAGTCATTATCAGAATTATTTCTAATATAATTGTCATCATAATTATCATCATCATCTTTATCATCACTACTCTACCAACATATCGAAGAGGAGGTTTTCTACCAATTGGGGCCCTCCCTTCACCACCTCCATGTGGATGGTCTACAGGGTTCATAACTACTCCTCTTACTACAGAACGCTTACTTAGCCCACATTTAGATCCGGCTCTACCCAAATTTTTCTGGTTTATCCCCACATTTCCCACTTGTTTGACTGTTGCCGAACAATTTTTGGATATCAAACAGACATTCCCAGAAGATAATTTTAATGTGGCTGATTTTCCCTCTTTTACAATTAGTTTCGCTACAGCACCTGCTACTTTAGCTAATTATCCACCCTTTCCGAATGTGATTTACACCTATAAAAAGACCTTTCAACATTCAATTAAGATATCCATTTAATGTAATAAATGTAAGTATCTAATGAAAAGTGACATTTTATCTCAATATGTGTTGTTATATATATACTACTCGATATGTGTTGCTATATATACCAATCGAAATGGGCCTTGGTTCAATGAACTTTGGTTTGAGATCAGCAATTAAGTAATATACTTATCAATCAGCATTAGACTGTGATTATGAATGTAGTCCCAGTTGTTTAGGAGTCCTAGGTGGTCGAAGAAGCTGAAAGGAATGAAATTCGAAACGTTACGACAGCTAGAGGTATCAAATGACCTGGTAATTTGCTAAACATTTTTACCTCTATATTGTTTCTTGGTTCCGAATGTTGGTCCAGTATAAATTTATAATACATAACATGGTTCACTAAACAAAAAATTTATTGACTTGTGATGTGGACTAAACAAAAGAATAATTTATGGAAAATCTAAAACATCACGGCAGAATAGAAGAGCATCATCTAATACAAATATTTCTTTTCTCTTTTCTAAATCATAATACCATACATATTATATGCCTAGTCATTCATTTGCTTCACTATAAATCGCATTTTTTTTCTAACTCACATTTGTTTTCATATTTCTGATTTTTTTTCCTATTTTTTTAACATATTGGCTTTGAAACAAAGGTGAATTTACATTTATCTTGATACAAAACTTCTGCTTAGATACTCAATGCCTTAGTCAAATAACTAATTATTTTTCACCTGTGTCTGTATAAGAGTGTAAACAAGTGGGAATGAGGAACAGAATCGTATGCTTTCCCTTTACAAATTTTTCCAACGATTGGTCTCCCTTTAAATGACAATTGTTTATTAGTTAAGGCAAAGTAGCTAGTGGCCTATGTTGCTAAACTTTTATCTTCTTCATTACGTGCCATTTTCTCACTCGTAGATCTTTCAATGGCCTTGCCACTCACAAGTGCCATTTTATACGTACTACAATTAAATAGTAATATACCCCAAAAGAAATTCATTTCT